ATGTGAATCAAATTTAATTCAATAGATATTATTATCAATAAAATATATAAAAATATAAAACTAAATATATCTAGATGTTTAATATCTTTTGATTTTAAAAAAATTAAATAATAAATTTTAAATTTCATAAATATTATTTATATTTTAGCTATAATAATATATAAAAGAATTAAAAATAACTGAAGGGTTGTTGGGTGATGAAATTTGTTTATGTTATTTATTTTTTTGAATATAATATAGCATCGGTTTATAATTTTTCTAAATCAGTAATAGCGTACATATATCTTATAAATATAATTATACGAACTCAAAATCTCTAAAAAGAATAATACTTTGTTTTACTACCAAGATGAGTTTAAATTTATTTATGCTATTTATATTATTATTTTATAAATATTAAAAATAAAGAAAAGAAAAATATAAATACATGACAGAGTGTCGTACATATGTAAAGAAATTACGAGAGGTTAATGATGCGAGCCGTAACGACAAGGACAACACAATTATAACTAGGACTAGCAAGGAGTTAATCTTAAAGAAAAAAACAGTGTACGTGAATGTCGGCCATTCATTTTTTATGGTAATAAACACTCTCTTTCTTTCATATACTTAAGAAATCATCGGTGGTATCTCACAAACATTTATGGAAATACGTACAATTAATTCTAAATAATTACCATATCTTCAAGAATATGACATTTTGTCAAATTTGGTAAAGCTATTACCGCTATATAACCATTATGAACAGGAATTAAACATTTACCCTAAACAATTGAATCTAAATCAAATTTAAAACTTAAACTAATTTACACATTAAAGGAAACCCTTAAGCCTTTGAACCTAACCAGTGACATTGGTATATAATATAAGTTTTAAAATATTATTTTAAATATGATTATTACATGTTAAACAAAACTGCAGACAATGGCAATTGTTCTTGTATCATATTATCCATATGCAGCACGTATCGCGTTCCATTTATGCTGATGCTATATCCAGGCAAACGTAAATGCATGAGATTGCGATATTATGGTTGTTGTGCTTCATCCTGCAAATTTCAATCGTATAAGCCATCTTGACGCTGAAATTTCACCATATAGATTAAGAGCAGTCACTTTTGTTCAAATACCCTAAACTGTGTGGCCATGATTTTAGAGTATATTTCATAATGGTCTTGTATTATCAGTAATAGATTCAGAAATATTTTTGAGAGCGAATATATATATATTAACTATACAAAATTATTATACGATATGAACATAAACAAAATAAATCACTAATTAGAAAAAAATCAGATTTCAGTGTCTACCCTAACTTAAGGTGCATCCGCCACTTTGCATGGCCCATTGCCATTGCCATTGGCTTTGGTTTCTTATATTATCCCTTCTTTCATTTTCTTCCAGAAGTTGATTCAATATGTAGGGTTTGATTATTTTTTTTGGCTAAATTTTAATATGAGACAGATGAAAATTTAATTATTCGAATAAATAAGAAAATAAAAATAAATGGCATTTGGTTAGCTAACGAAGCCGCGGATGGTCCATCACTGTCACTGAAAACGAATCATAATTAACTACAAATATATTACGGAGAGAGAAGCTTTTTAAAACAAATAATAATTCTAAGAAGAGCACGATTTGAATCTTCTTGATTTTTTTTTAATTTTGAATTTTTTAAATTAATCACTTGTATCCGATCTATTGACGACTAATCCAGATCGGATACTGCAGAGGCGAGGATGACCCTCCAACCCAATTTGCTCAATTCTCAAACGTCAGAATTCGAACCCCTAATCTTACTTAAAAGACCTAGTATCTTATCCCACTAGACCAATTGATTATTGACTTTAAATTTTGATTTCTAATAAGTTGGAATGTTAACATCATGTGCAAACTAGCTGATGATAAATCAATAATACGACCTTGACTATTATTTTAATAACAATGATAATAATGGACCAACCGTGTATTATTTAATTAATACAAAAATAAATATAAATCTTTTCTCTTTCTTTTTGTTAGAGGAAACGCAAGACAGTGGACAAAAACAAAATTAATAACTCTTAGTAGTTAGTAGTACCTAACCTAATCTTAAAAAGAATGGTAAATTATGTGTTTAGTACCTAGAATATTAGTTTTGATCTATTTTAGTATCTATATTTTTAATTTTTCAAAATCATACCTAACATTTAATTTTTATTTCATTTTAGTATCCATTAAAAAATTAACGTTAAGTACAATTTTTTAAAAATTGAAAGTTTAAGTACTAAAATAGACCAAAAATGATAATTTAAGCACTAAACGTCTTAAGTTTTTAACGATGGGGTATTAGAATGAAAAAATTAAAATTTTAGGTACTAAAAAAACCAAAACTGATAATTTAAGTATTAAATGTTAGGTATAATTTAAAAAAAATAGAAGTTTAAGTATAAAAACAAATTAAAACTGATAATTTAAGTACTAAACATGTAGTTTATCCTAAAAAGAATTAAGTAATGAGTAGAATGATGTTATAACTCACGCAAATGGTCTGGCAATGACTCCCCCTCTTTAACAAACTTTAACCTATAATTACAAAATTCTTTTTTATTTGAAAATGTTCTAAAAATTCGTTAATGTTCTCTTAAATCATTAGTAATTTTCTCAGATTATTATTATATCTTCTTAGTCAACTACAATTTGGCCCTTCTTCAACAAGCAATCATTAGATCTACTTTAATTATTTATCAATTAAAAGAATGGTACAAGCTAGTGGGTAAATTGTTTAATTACCCCCCGAATAAAATTAATTATATTGAGAAATAAAATGTATATCCAAGACTGTCTCTTTGTTGCAATTTAATTAAAAAATATTTGTTTCAAATTAATTTAAGAGTTTCTTTTATATATAAAAAGAATTGTTGACTAATTACTTTTTTTTAATACGTAAACATAGCCGATGCAGCTCTGCCGACACTAACAGAATCAATAAACGGAATATGCTTTTGGCGTTATTCCATGAACAATACAGTAAGTTAAGTGTATCCGAGTACACCGGAACGGATTGCAAGTTGGTCCATTTTTTATAGGAAGAGTTAATTGTATTAAATGTCCTTAAATCATGATTCACATTCTAAATTAGTCCCTAAACTTTGAAATATTTTAATTTCATCCTTAAATTATGACTATCATTCTAAATTAATCCTCAAACTTTTGAACATTTCAATTCCATACCCAAACTATGACCTTCATTCTAAACTAGTCCCCAAACTTTTTGAACATTTCAATTTCATCCAAACTATATGTATATACTAATCACATCCCTTGTTAATAAAATTGTTAGGTCAAGTTATATTATTATATATTTTTAAAAATAAAATTTAGGTTAAATTATTATTGAAACTAATTACATATTTGGATGAATTTGAGGATGAAATTGGAAGAGTCAAATGTCTGGGGACCAATTTAAAATAAAGGTCATAGTTTGAGGATGAAATTAGAATGTTAAAAAATTTAAGGACTAATTTAAAATTAAAGTTATAGTTTATGGATAAAAATAAATTATTTAAAAATGTAAAAACTAATTTAAATAAAAATCATAATTCAAAAACATATGATACAATTAACTCAATTGAAAGGTTCTTCAAATCAATACAAATATAAACCTTAAGAGGCTGTTTGGTTCGGAAAATGTGGGATTCCCATGGGAATAGAATGCACCCCGTTTGGTTGGCCGGGAATCTCATTCCCGATAATATAAGATTACCAATAGTGGATTTTTTGGGGTATATTACCGGGAATGTCATTACCCATTCTCTTAGGTATTGTTGGATTTACCGGCGTTTTGGACTAAAATGCCCTTAAAATTTTTTCACTCAAAAATATAATTCTTCTGTCAGTGAATAATAAAATTTCTACGAATGTTAAATTACAAAATTATCCTTAAACTATTTTAGATTTACAAAAAAAAGTCTATAATTAAAATTTTATATGAAGTTCAGGGGTTAAAATAAAATTTTACCATTTCATTAAACCTTTTTATATTTTCAATTTTATAAAATATATATATATATATATAAATAAATTTTATGAATTTAATTTTTTAAATAAAATATATAAATATTTTTCAATTTGTTAAAAAAATAAATATATAATAAAGATAATTTGGTTAAATATACATTCCAATAATCTTTTATTCTTTTAACCAAACACGATAATCTTACATTCCTGCTAAACCAACTAAACATAAAATACAACATTTTCAGTAATCTTATTCATTGGTAATCTTTTATTCTCACTGATAATATTACATTCCGTGAACTAAACACACCCTAATAACTAACCCAAATTGGTGAAGTCCCCAATCGACTGCCACTTCCCGTTAACTGGTCATCCAATTCAACACCTCCCTTCTTTTTTAATTTATATATATATATATATATATATATATATATATATATTTAATTCACAAAAAGAAGTCAAAACATCTCTCATTTCCAAAAAAATCCAAATAAATTAAATGCTCGTAAAATTTCCAAAACATAGTAAATTACAAACATACCCTTCATCACCCTCATCGTGGCACGGTGGGGCAACCCCGTTGGACCCACCACGGATCCCACAATTATAAGTACCGTTGTAAGAGGTTTTGATTTACAGTTGAGCAGCTTTACGTATGGGAAGTATCAACAAGCTTTCTGCTTCCAAAAATAAAAAAATTGAGATGAAATCATAAATGAAATGTATGTGTTTAACGTTGAATTTTATTGTTAAGAGGCTTTTGATTCCAAAGCTTTTCACTTTTTTGTTTACTGATTTAATTTATTTATAACAGAGGCTCATTTTTTTGGGCAAAATTGGGTCTCTCTCTGCCTTTCTCTGTCAAGGAAAGAATCAATCGTTAAACACAGTCACACAAAAACAAAAGGGTACTATTTATTTATCTGTATTATTATAATAATAATAATAATAAAAATAATAATAACATTTGTTTTATATTTTATAATAATTGGCATCACATTTTTTTTATTTCTATCTGTATTTCTATATTTGCTTCTCTATCTTTCTCTGATTATCTCTCTAAAAGCTGTGTGCTTTTGTGCATTCTATAATGTGGGTTTCTTCTTCCATGTAATTGGTGCCTGAGAGAAACAGAGAGACAGAGGAGGTAAGGTTAGGGTCTTTATGAGTTTTGAGTGATGAAGGGGGCAGAGAGAGAGAGAGAGAGAGAGAGAGAGCTCCATTGCAGTGTGTTTCTCTTGCTTTTAAAGCTTTTATTTAACCTGGGGTTGTTTTTATTGTTGGGGTTTGGGAGCTAGATGGACACCAAAGGAAGACTCATTGCTGGTTCTCACAACAGGAATGAGTTTGTTCTCATCAATGCTGATGAGGTTGCAAGAGTAAGTACCCTCAAAACTTTGTTGCTTTTTGCCATTTTCTTATGGTGTGCGTGTTCTATTTTTTGTATGGTGTTTAGATACAGTTCAGTAAACATACCTTGCTGTCCCAGCTCAGTAAATTCTTCGGTAGTCATTAGATCTCTACTGATAAATGCATCCAATTCAAACAATTAGCAGCTCTGAATTTGCATAAAATTTCATTACGTCTATTAGAAAAGTTTGTCAGTTGTGAGTTGGGACTTTGGGTAGCCTAAAGTCTTCTGTCTGTTGTTTAAAAAAGCAGTTTTTATGATCTGCTGGCGGTTGACATTGTTAATTGTGCAACTATGACTTGCAGGTGACATGTGTTAAAGAATTAAGTGGGCAGATTTGCCAGATCTGTGGTGATGAGATAGAGCTTTCTGTTGATGGGGAGCCATTTGTTGCCTGCAATGAGTGTGCATTCCCAGTATGCAGGCCTTGCTATGAATATGAAAGAAGGGAGGGCAATCAAGCCTGCCCACAATGCAAAACTAGATACAAGCGCCTTAAAGGTGACCCTTGTTAACTTGATGCTTTGGTAAAACCCCATTAGAGAGCAATTTGGTAATAGCTTGTCTTTTAGAAATTAAGCTAACAATGTGACCTATATATTTCAGGTTGCCCTCGTGTAGATGGGGATGAGGAAGAGGATGGCGATGATGATTTGGAGAATGAGTTTGATATCCCAAGCCATGATAGAAGAGATCCTTACCATATTGCTGCAGCCATGCTCTCTGCTCGATACGATAGCAATCATGGTTCCCGATCTCATGTTTCAGGGTTGAGCACCCCAGCAGAGTTCGATGCTGCATCTGTTGATTCAAAGGTCCCTCTCCTGACATATGGCGAGGTGAATCGGTTTTACCATAAAAAATTATTCATTTGAGTTTGGTATTGCACTTGTGGCTTACATCTGATTGATTATTAATGAAGGATGTTGAGATTTCGTCTGATAAGCATGCTCTTATCGTTCCTCCCTTTATGAGTCGTGGAAAACGTGTCCATCCAATGCCAACTTCTGATCCTTCCATGACTTGTGAGTTATTTTATACTATTAGTAGAAATGTATGGAACTTGTAATTTAATTTCGAATGATAATTGAAGTACATCTGAATTTGTCTGTTAAACATCATTCTATTTTGAGCACTTAACATAGTTCATGTTGTTGATATGACAGTACCACCTAGACCAATGGATCCTAAAAAAGATTTGACAATTTACGGGATTGGGACTGTTGCATGGAAGAGAAGAATGGAAGATTGGAAGAATAAACAGAATGAGAAACTCCAGGTGGTTAGGCATGAAGGAAACAATGGAGATGAGTTTGAGGATTCTGATTTGCCGATGTGCGTGCATTTACTCTGAAATTCTTTTTGGTTGTCTGAGCATGTTTAAGTCTAGAATCTTGTTTTTGCAACTGTTTGTTCAGTAGATTCCTCGCCTTTTTTGGATTGAAAAAATGTAGAAATTGTCAAGTGATTTGGAAGAAGACCTGGCTGCTCCAGCTAGAGCTTGAATTGCTAATCGTTAAGAGTATTTACAGTTAATGACATATGCATAGTTGTTGCTTTTCTCTACGACCAATACTCTTTCGTTGCTTTCTTTTCTAATGAGAAATGACATTTTTTAAAGGATTGCATTATTTTGTTTCTGTAGGCTCTACAGTTCATATCCTTTTTGCATATATGCTACTTCCATGTTGTGATGGGAGCAAATGAATGCACCGTTTTTCTATGTTGAAAAAGTTTTTTCATACACTGTAGGCTAACTTTTATGGATTCATTAACACCTGCTTTCACATTCACGACTAAAAAAAGTAAATTTATGTGTTGTTATAGGATGGATGAAGGCAGGCAACCACTTTCAAGGAAACTACCAATACCCTCTAGCAAGATAAATCCATACAGAATAATAATCCTTCTCCGGCTTGCCATCCTGATGCTGTTTTTTCACTACAGAATTCTGCATCCCGTGAATGATGCTTATGTTCTCTGGCTTATTTCAGTCATTTGTGAAATATGGTTTGCTGTATCATGGATATTGGATCAGTTCCCGAAATGGTACCCAATTGAACGGGAAACATACCTTGATCGTTTAGCATTGAGGTGATTTCATCTTCCTTTCTCCTCTTTACTTCCCCATTCTTTTTCTCTTTGCATCTGGTTTCCTCTCTCTCATTACCTCTGTACTCGCACTAAACTTCTGTGCATATCAGAGGGGGAATTCAATTTGAGTTGTTATTAATTTTATTTATATTTTGGTTTTTTCCCCATTTTTTAAGGTATGAGAAAGAAGGGAAGCCATCTGAGCTAGCTTCTGTAGATGTATTTGTGAGTACAGTTGATCCGATGAAGGAGCCACCGCTTATCACTGCAAATACAGTTCTGTCTATCCTTGCGGTAGATTATCCAGTTGATAAAGTAGCCTGCTATGTCTCTGATGATGGTGCTGCCATGCTCACGTTTGAGGCTCTATCTGAGACATCTGAATTTGCAAGAAAATGGGTACCATTTTGTAAGAAGTTCAGCATTGAACCTCGAGCACCAGAATGGTATTTTGCTCAGAAAGTTGACTACTTGAGAGACAAAGTAGATCCAACATTTGTCAGGGAACGCCGGGCCATGAAGGTTTGTAACCCCCCCACCCAAATGTTAATCTGCTGCTAAGAATCTGTCATTTGACTAGCTTACCTGCATAGTGCATGAAGCATAAAATTTTAGCAGGCAGAGAGGCTGTCTATATGCCTCTGGAAAAACAAAACATCAACTTATATAATTGCTATTTCTTTATTCTTATGCATGACATTTTTGTTCTTAAAACGGATTATCCACTGGTTTCAAGACATGGTGTTGCTAATTTGTTGATACAGAGGGAATATGAAGAGTTCAAAGTTAGAATAAATGGCTTGGTTGCAATGGCACAAAAGGTTCCAGAAGATGGTTGGACTATGCAGGATGGGACTCCATGGCCAGGAAACAATGTCAGAGACCATCCTGGAATGATCCAAGTGCGCTGTTTTTCTTTAAATGCTGTTTGGGATTCAGTTTAAATGCTATCCAGCCCCCATATTATTTGCAGCATGCATTAACATAGTAAACATTTATTCTTTGTTTTAGGTTTTCCTTGGTCATGATGGTGTTCGTGATCTTGAAGGGAATGAATTACCTCGTCTAATTTATGTTTCTCGTGAAAAGAGACCAGGATTTGATCACCACAAGAAAGCTGGGGCCATGAATGCTTTGGTATTTCCCTTTCTTTCTCTCTATCTCAAGCATGCAACTGTGCACTCACAAAATAGAGTCTCAGCTTGGCATGTCCTTTGATCTGTCAGTTGTCTGGTTTTATCTGATTGTAATAAATTTTGGCTGATTTATGAAGGTGCGCGTTTCTGCTGTCATCTCCAATGCTCCTTTCCTACTAAATGTTGATTGTGATCACTACATAAACAACAGCAAGGCTCTTCGTGAAGCCATGTGCTTCATGATGGACCCTATTTCGGGAAAGAAAATCTGCTATGTCCAGTTTCCTCAAAGATTCGATGGCATTGACCGACATGATAGATACTCAAACCGAAATGTTGTCTTTTTTGATGCAAGTATGATTTGTCGAACTTTAATTTTGTGGATACAGTTCTTTGTAAAAGGAGATGACATTGTTATTTTTTGTTTTTCCAAAAACAGATCAACATGAAAGGCCTGGATGGGATTCAAGGACCTATTTATGTTGGAACTGGATGTGTCTTCAGGAGGCAGGCTCTCTACGGATACGATGCGCCTGTCAAGAAAAAGCCTCCAAGAAGGACATGCAATTGTTTGCCAAAATGGTGCTGCTGCTGCTGCTGTTGCCGATCTAAAAAGAAGAACAGGAAATCGAAGTCCATCGATAAGAAGACAAATGAGGTTCCAAAGCACAAACATGCTCTAGAGAATATCGAAGAGGGAATTGAAGGTAATTATTGTTCTTCTATTCGCTTCCAGTATGCATCTGCAAAATCTTGAAATATTCTTCCTTCAGACATTTTGTCCCTGTCAAAGTTTGGTCTTTGATATTTACATATATACTTTTGCAAACCTAGAATCATTCAACTATTTTAGAGCCTTATCATTTATAGTGCTATCATATGTATTGCAGGTATAGATAATGAGAAGTCGACCCTTATGCCACAAACCAAATTTGAGAAGAAATTTGGTCAGTCACCTGTTTTCATTGCTTCAACACTTATGGAGGATGGGGGAATCCCAAAAGGGGCAACTACTGCATCACTCTTGAAAGAAGCAATTCATGTCATCAGCTGTGGTTATGAAGATAAAACAGATTGGGGGAAGGAAGTACGTCGAAACTGTCCCGAACTTAATAAATTAATGATACTCATCAAAAGGAAGTACCTTTTGAAGTTGTTTTCTTTGAATGATTGAATTTTGATAATGATACTCATCAATTCCTATCATCACCCAGGTGGGATGGATATATGGCTCAGTTACTGAGGATATATTAACAGGCTTCAAGATGCACTGCCATGGCTGGCGATCAGTGTACTGCATGCCGAAAAGGCCAGCATTTAAAGGTTCAGCTCCTATTAACCTCTCAGATCGTCTGCACCAGGTTTTACGTTGGGCTTTGGGATCTGTTGAAATTTTCTTGAGCAGGCATTGCCCATTATGGTATGGGTATGGTTGTGGATTGAAATCCTTGGAGCGCTTTTCATATATAGCTTCTGTTGTGTACCCTTTGACGTCAATTCCACTGCTCGTATATTGTACACTACCGGCTATCTGTCTTCTTACTGGAAAGTTTATTGTTCCTGAGGTAATTCTGAATTTCTGCGTAGCATATCTTTCTAACATGGATACGTCGGAATTATTTTGGGATCAATTACTTAAAAACAATCAGATAGGACTAGTCATTTTCAAACTGTTTGTAGGTGATAGTATGGCTGCCTTTGTCAACACTCAACATCGTAGGACAGCTCATATGATGTTGGATTATATATATATATATACATATTGAGGGGTTATTTAGAAGGCAAGCAATAGATGATTTTGTAGTTGTTATTACGATATTCTTTTTATTCTATGAACAGGCCTGAGACCTGACAGAAATTCATCTTAGCTATTCAAAAATGATTTAAGAATTGGATGGAGCGTCATTAGAACATGATCTGATGCTGTAATTATAGTCATTAATCATCTTCTGCTGGAAAATTTGTGGTACTAAAATCCTTCTAGTGATGAATTTCATGTAGTCTGGAAGCATACTAATAAGCCTTCTCCTATGCAATCTATATGAACAATGCCCCTATTTCGGTTGTAACTATAATATTGTCAAAGTATTGCTTGATATACCGAGGCAATTACCAAACCTGGATACTGCATTTTATCTGGCTTTGTCAGAATTTTCAGCTAATACTGATTTTTCAATTTGCAGATTAGTAATTATGCCAGTCTCCTTTTCATGTCTCTCTTCGTAATCATTGCTGTGACTAGTATCCTAGAAATGCAGTGGGGAGGTGTCGGAATACATGACTGGTGGAGAAATGAGCAGTTCTGGGTGATCGGTGGCGTCTCATCGCACCTATTTGCGCTCTTCCAGGGCCTGCTTAAGGTTTTAGCAGGTGTTAACACAAACTTCACTGTTACATCAAAAGGAGGAGATGATGGGGAATTTTCGGAGTTGTACCTATTCAAGTGGACATCTTTATTGATTCCTCCCATGACATTGTTGATCATCAACATAATTGGAGTCATAGTTGGGATTTCGGATGCCATCTCAAATGGATACGACTCATGGGGACCACTATTTGGTAGACTGTTCTTTGCGCTCTGGGTAATCGTTCATCTTTACCCCTTCCTCAAGGGGTTGATGGGGAAACAAGACAGGCTTCCCACCATTATTGTGGTTTGGTCAATACTTTTAGCATCAATTTTCTCTCTTTTGTGGGCTCGAGTAAACCCGTTTATATCGAAAGGAGGCATTGTTTTAGAAGTGTGTGGGTTGAACTGTGACTAAAAATACAATAAAAGAACGAAGGAGTAAAATTAGATGTCTTGTGTTCAATGAAGAAAGGATTTGGGAAAATCGCATAAGTCGGCTGTGTTTTTGGTCTAAGATGAAGACAACATCCCTCAATTTAACACGGTTTTCCTCAAGTATGACGTAAAAGGTGAGCAAAAGAGGAAATCATGTTGGAAGGCGCTTGTAGATACATATATAGAACTGTGATCTTATTTGGTGTTGAGTTTTACTCCATTTTGATTCTTTATGTACTTTGTGGGTTAGAAGGTATTGATTTCATAAAGTCCTTTATAATCTCTAAGAGAAGATACTTAATAAAAGCTATAGTTTTTATCCATTATGTATATTATCCCTTTGTTAGTAAGGGACTTCACATAAATCGATGTTCACAAACATTACATCAACTTCTCACAATTCTACAAACAAGTAATGCACGAGATATGCCTATATTGTACATAGCACGTTGTATTAATGCCTACCTATTGTCATGGAAATGTTACTGTTCTAACTAAACAATCATAAAGAAACTGTTAGGTCTAATACTTTCGGTTTCAGATATGCCGAAGTGGCGGCCTCAGCTTGGATGTCATTTTTAGCGTTGTTCGGTTGCCAATGTGCTCCCTTTTGCTGCTACATTCGTTCTCCTTCATGTCACGGAGTATCGGTAGCCTTGGTGTTCTTTGAACCAAACCAAGCTTGCTCTTGCTTTTCATTACTGAAGAAATCAATTGCTTAACCGGCACACTCTTGCTCCTCTCCTTTTCTGCAGTTGCATTTAGCAAATTTAGTTCGGTTCTGAAGGCTGCTGCGTTTTCACCGTCCTCGCCTGCAACAGTTAAACATAAACTCATTTAACACCTATGCTTAAATTAGCTGTATTTTTTTTATTATCAGCCCTCAATGCAAACAACGAAATTATGCGCCAAAAAAATTAATGTTTTCTGTATGTCACTGCTGAACATAATGTTTTTTTTGTGTCTGGTGATAATGTCCTAAATTAACCTATCTAACCTTTGTCAATTTCTGAACCCTTTAAAAGGGGCGATTTATGTGCCATTGCTGCATCCAGCCCTGACAAGTTGTTACTCAACTCCATTGTTTCTTCTGTATATTCAGGATCATCCTTCCTCACCATGAAATATGTATCCTCAATATCCTCTTTGATGTGGCTTGAATTGCATTCTGTGACGGACATGTCTAAAGCAACATTATTACTATAACGGGCCTTTGCATCCGAATATTTAACTTCATCTTCAGCCCCGAAAAACAATTTCATCTCCATGTTGGTAAAGATGTTTGATTCATCGGGATTCTCTAGGTGTTTACGTTCTATTGCATTTTAATATAATCAGTGGACACAAATTTTGCTGTATTTACCAATCAGTAATTGAAATGAAGGGAATGAATGAGTACTTACCATCCGAAGCGCAATCTACCACCATCTCAGGTTTCATTGAAGAAACAATGTTTAGTTTACTGCAGCTATCAACTTCCCAGGAATCATCATTTTTGGTTTCAGGAAAACGTGAGGCATTTGGTTCCCCTGTCTCTAGGTTACAATTCTTCCTTTCATCCAAACATGGAGACTGGTTCACATCTGAATTGTCAATGCCATCCAGGTCTATGTCAGTTCTCATGGACCCTTCACAATCATCAGACTTTGCTCCAACAATTTCTTCCAAGGTACCATCAGTTACATGATTAAAACCTCCGGAATTGGTTTGGCACCATCTCTTTCCTCCCTTGTAACTGTATCATGATCATGAAAAAGTAAACACAGTAATTAGTCACCTCTCCTCAAAGATGAAAGGTTTTCAACCTTAGTGTATAAAAGATGTTCTTTTTCTGCTTTGCCACAGGAAAAAGAAAAAGTTGAGTCATATAGTTTGAAACAAAAGGAGAGAGAGAGGTGATGTACAGTTAGTTAAAAAAACGCAAATGCATCCATCCAAAACTTTCAGTATTTGAAATAAAGCATGAAATATTTGAATCACCAATACTGATTTCAAGCTTGCTACAAGGTGTATCAGCAGATGATGAGATGTCTTCTTCTTCACCACCATGTAAAGATCTCTGATGAGAAACAATTTCTTTTTCACCATCCTCGACCCCAGCTTCTTCAATGGTGAAGGTTGCTTTCTCAGCATCCTTGACCCCAGCTTCTTCAATGGTGAAGGTTGCTTTCTCAGCATCCTCGACCCCAGCTTCTTCAATGGTGAAGGTTGCTTTTGCACCATCCTCAACCCCAGCTTCTTCAATGGTGAAGGCAGTATCTAATTGTTTTGTTGCAACACTATCCTCCCTGTCTGGATCATCTTTTGTTCCAGATTGAGGATAGCTACTGTTTGAAGTGCTCTCCAATGTGCCAAGTCCAACCACCGAAGTGCTAACCAAAGTTAGGCCAACCGTTGACGTTAAAGCATCTACTTCAAAGGAAAAGCAATGATTATGTTCAAGTCTAACCTCTTCACCTTGATCATCAAGATCACCATTGTTCTCAGCTTCCATAGCTACAGGTTCATTTGCTATGTCTTCTGTATATTCAGTGCTGGGAACCCCAGAAGCATCAGTTTCTTGAAATATTGGATCTGTGACATTCATATCGGGGTCATACAACTCTGCATCCACATTGCAACGAGTGTAGTCAGTAAGCTCAACTTTCAGGGGCGATATCGCTATTTTCTCTGCGATGTTATCTTCCTGTACATTTGTTTCACCGCTCACATTGATTCCATTGCTATCCATGGTTGCAGCAAAGACATTAATGAAAGGATGATCCACACCTCTTTCACCACTAGCATTTGTCTCTCCATCCACAGACACATAATAAAAAGGGCTCGTTGAAAAAGATTCTGAAGTGATAGGTGCAGTTAATTCCTCAGCTGGAAAAGCTTGAGTGGCAGTACTAAAAGCTCTAGCATTTCTCTGATTTCAGCACCTTGATTCAGAGTTTGAATTTCATCATCCAACTGCACCATTGCAAGATGAGGCAAGGCATTTGCTGGAATGTCATTTCTCGTATCCATGCGAATTGCCTCGTATTTTTCTTGCATGTCATTGATGGCATGCAGACAGCTGTTGTCGGGCAATATCTCATTACAAACTCCTGACAATCAGAAAGAAGAAAAGTCATTGATAGATAATCAGAGGAAAAAGCCTGATGTAATTAAAGTTCTATCATTTTTTTCATCTACCAAAGGATCAAGCAATAGTAAGATGTATTTTAACAAAAAAAAAATGGAAAATCCTATTGCAAGTGGCATTGATAAACATCAGCGTGAGCACTTTCTAACATATTGTTACCATTTTCTTCTGGTGAAATAGGATATGCTCCTTCATCTAATATATGTTTCTCCTGTGTTTCACCAGAAACATCTTCAAAGCTTCCATGTGATACGTCCAATTTTTCATCTTTTGCACATTGACGACCAATACTTTCCAAGAGTGGATGATAAATGCCATTTGCCCCATATTTTCCTTCTGAACTCTGATCAGTAACCTTTTTTCCACTGACAAACTTTTCAGTATTTATTGTGTCTTCATTTTCCACCATTTTCATATTTTCTTCATTGTTTAGCTTACCTGGCACTGCACATCCTGCATTAGTCAAATCAGTCACCTCCAAGTGTATTGTAAAAAAATTCAATCAGACATCTGCCTTGATCTTAATATAAATAAAACACTCGTATCAGAATTCAATATTCTGAAAAGAAGTGATAAAAAGTGAAATGTACAGGTACTTTGGACATCTTTGCTGCCTACTTGAGGTCTAAGGGGGCTTATCAAATCTTTATCGTGACTGCTTAAGCTCCATTGCATTGCCGTTAATGGCTTTTGTACTGTTCCAATTCCAGAGGATTCATCAGTTTCTGTTTCTTCTGCTTTCTTCGAGGAAACTTCAGATTCCTCTGTACCACCATGTTATGTGCGTGGAGAAAAAGGGGGAAATGTTAGGGATTTCTGTGGAGAAGCTAGGGATTGATTGTGGCAAATTTGGGGGAAATGAGATATTACTTGGAGCATGAGAATTGAATGGCCATTTGGAGCAGAGGACCGAGTGGTGATACCCACAGAGAAACGGCTGGAACTGAAGCATAGTGGCCCAACAAGCAGTGATCCACCGTTATGATATGTTGAAGATGAACCAAGCACGTGACCACAATTAGTTAGGAAATGCCAGCTTTATAGAATAAGTTGTTAGACTTTTGTACTGAAGAATATAATGAGCAAATGTAACCGAGAGATCTATTATGGCAATTTTAATGAATAGTCATCTTTTCTCTTAAATCTATCTTCTCAAATTTCTCTAAATCCCTAATTCTTTTCTTGAATTCTATACGGTTCATAACAATTGGTATCAGAGTTTAGCAAAGATTCAACGTCAAGCTGGGTAAACAGAAGAAAATCTAACAGATGGGTGATAAAGTGGAATCAGTAGCCATAACAAGCAGTAATGAGGAGACTAAGAATGAAGTTCGGATTCCTAGAGGATGGGAAGAACAAAAAGAAGAATGGGAAAATAGAATGAAGGTGCTGGAAAGCAGGATGGATGAGACCTAAGGATATTTGCAGAAGATATTGAGTTGTGTGTCTAAAGTAAGTGAAGAACCTGAGCAGAATACTCCTGAAAAGGATGACTAGGTAATTGTTGTATCTTTACCTAAATCTAAAGGAAAGTGATAAATGAGCATGAGAAATATTCCTTTTATCCGGAGGGTCCTGGAGTATTAGCTCCTAAACCAGAAGGTTACAAATCATCTACTTTCCAAACACAAAACCAGAAATTGAACTTAAGAGGGAATAATCATCAATCTGGAAGTACTTTACTCTCTAAAGATCCCTATTTGTATGAGAAAAGTGTATCAAATCAGTCCTTTACCCTAAGACCTAAGATAGAATTACAGATGTTTGATGGTGATAATCCAAGGAGTTGGGTCAAAAAATGCCAAAAGTATTTTACCATTTTTGTAATTCCTGATGAACAAAAAATGGAAATAGCAGCAATGTATCTGACAGGTAAGGCTGAAAATTGGTATGATGGGTATATTATGCAGAAAGGTCAAGTAAGTTGGTAGGAATTTATAGAGGATTTATATAGCAGGTTCTATGACAAGAACTACATTAATGTGATTGAAGAATTTAGTAAGCTTTTGCAGAAATCTACAGTGGAGACTTATCAAGAGAAGTTTGAGGAGCTCAAGCCATTTATGCTACAACACAATTCTCATCTGGGAGAAGAATATTTTGTATCTATGTTTTTTAGTGGATAAAAGGAGGGAATTAAGCATAGAGTGAGGATGCATGAACCTAAAGTCTGGATGAAGCTTACAAGAAGGCCATATTGTGTGAATTAGCATTGGAAATTGAAGGGAAGAAGAAGATGTCAGTGCTCAAAGGTAATTATCAGGGAACACATTCTCAATCACAAAAGTTTGTAGGTACATCAAATATTCAGAAGAATTCAGCAACCAATTTTCCAAGTAAACATACTTTAATAGAGTATACAAGAGCACATACTTTGTGTTTTAAGTGTGGAGAAAAATTTACTGCTGGTCATCAATGTAAACTTAAACAGCTTAATATGATGGAAGAGGAAGAAAATATAGAGAGAGATGAGGAAGGAGACAGGGAGGAAGAAGCTAATGATAAGGGACAAGGAACTTTGGAGATTTCCATTAATGCTCTTACTGGAAGTGTGGGACATAATACTCTAAGACTTCAGGGAATTATTAAAGGAAAATCACTGAATATTTTGGTGGATAGTGGAAGCACACACAGTTTCATCACTCCTAGATGGGCAAAGGAAGGAGTGGAAGTGGAAAAAACTCATCCTTTAGCTATTACAGTTGCTAATGGAGAGAAATTATTCAACAATGCTAAGAGTAACAAGCTGAGTTGGAAAATGCAAGGAAATGCATTTGAGTATGATTTTAGAGTTTTGAATATGGGGGGAAGTGATATGGTGTTAGGAGTGGATTGGATGAGTCAATATAGTCCAATTCTTATGGATTTTAAAGAGATGACTATGGTTTTTAAAGTGGGAGAAAAGGAGATTAAATTGGAAGGAAAACAAATAGGTTCTTATATGAAATTGATTTCAGAGTCTAAGCTGAAACAAATTACTGTTAAAGAACCAGAAGTGATAGGATAAGCCTATTTTCTGAGTATGGAGGTAGTTGAATCCAAATTTCCAGAAGAATTACAAACCTTTCTAGAGGAGTATCAAGATGTTTTTAAAGAACCTAAGAAAATGCCCCCTGCTAGAAGTCATGATCATGCAATGATTCTTAAGGAAGGAACTCAACCAGTAAATCTTAGACCATACAGATTTCCACACCCACAAAAGGCAGAAATTGAAAAAACAGATTAAAGAGATCTTGTCTGCTTCAATTATTGAAACCAGTAAGAGTCCTTTTGCTTCCCCTTATTTATTGGTAAAGAAGAAGGATGGAACATAGAGAATGTGTGTGGACTATAGACAATTAAATACTGTGACAGTTAAGAATAAATTTCCAATTCCAGTAGTAGAAGACTTGTTGGATGAATTGGCAGGGGCTTCTTATTTTTCTAAAATAGATATGAGATAAGGATATTGACAAATAAGAGTCAAAGAAGAGGACATTCCCAAAACAGCATTCAAGACACATCATGGACATTATGAGTTCAAGGTAATGCCCTTTGGTTTAACCAATGCACCTGCTACTTTTCAAGCACTAATGAATGACTTATTTGGTCCATATTTGATGAAGTTTGTGTTAGTAATTTTTGATGATATTTTGGTGTACAGTCCTAATCATAAGCAACACTTGAAGGTGGTCTTGGAGATCTTGAGGAAAAATCAATTATATGCAAAAAGAAGTAAGTATTTCTTTGGACAGAATAAGGTGGAGTATTTGGGGTATGTAATAACAGCAGATGGAATTTCTACTGATCCTACCAAGGTGGAGGCAATGCAAAAATGGCCAGTTCCAAAGAATCTCAAATCTTTGAGAGGCTTCCTAGGACTTACAGGATATTATAGGAAGTTTATTAAGGGATATGGAGAACTCAGTAAACCACTGACAAGTTTACTAAAAAAGGGAGCTTTTAATTGGAATGATGAAGTAGAAGCAACTTTTAAGAAATTGAAGCAGTCTATGTGTGAAACTCCTGTATTGGCTCTTCCAAAATTCAGTAAGAAATTCTGTTTGGAGACTGATGCAAGTCAACAAGGAATTGGGGTTGTTTTGACACAGGAAGGCAAGCCATTAGCTTATTTGAGTAAGGCTTTGGGACCAAGGCATATAGAACTGTCTATTTATGAGAAGGAATATATATCCATACTCATGGATGTATCTAAATTGAGACACTACCTAGAAAATGGTCTTTTTATAATCAAAACATACCATGAACCTTTAAAACATTTAATAGAGCATAAATTGACCAATACAATTCAGAAAAAATGATTATCTAATTTGATGGGTTTGGATTATGTTATACATTATAGGAAAGACAGATTGAATGTAGTGAAAGATGCTTTGTCAAGAAGATTTGAAGATGATAAGGAGGTTGAAAAGGTTGAAGAAACAGGAGAGTGTATGCAAATGACTACCACTATACTGATTCCTGAGTGGGTAAAAGAAATTGAGGACAATTATAAGGGAGATATATTAGCTCATAAATTTATTACAGGCTTAACCATTAACTCTAATATAGAGTCTGATTTGAAGTTGGTTAAAGGAGTGCTAAGGTAAAAGAATAAGGTTTACATTGGGGAACATGGAAATTTAAGGAAGAAAATCATGGAGTGTTTGCATAATTCCCCTCAAGGGGGACATTATGGAGTACAAGCAACATACTACAAAATTAAACTTTATTTCTATTGGAAAGGCTTGAAAATTCAAGTTAAGTCTTATGTGAAGAAGTGTGAAGTATGCCAAAGAACAAAAGGGGAGAATATGGCAATTCCAGGTCTGTTACAACCTATTGCTATTCCTAATAAGGCATGAGAAGTTATTACCATGGATTTTATTGAAGGACTGCCACAGTCAATGAAATCCAATTGCATCTTGGTGATAGTGGATAAGTACTCTAAATATGGCCATTTTTTAGCCATAGTTCATCTATACACAGCGACTGAGATAGCTAGGATCTATTTAGATCAAGTATATAAATTGCATGGACCACCTAAGATAGCTATATCAGACAGAGAAAAAACATTTACAAGCTTATTTTGGAAGGAATTGATGAAGCAGCTTGGAACTACAACTTTTTTCAGTACAGCCTACCATCCAGAGACAGATGGACAGACTGAAAGGTTAAACCAGTGTTTGGAACAATACTTGAGAAGTATGTGTTTTCTTAAACCTGGTAATTGGGCAAAATATTTACCACTGGCTGAATTGTGGTATAATACTAATTATCATACAGCCCTAGGAGTTACACCTTTTGAAGCCTTGTATGGATATAAGCCTCCTATGATTAACTGGCAGACTGATACCAGTGTCAATGCAGTACAAGAGATAATGGGGGAAAGAGAACACCTAAACAAACTACTTAAGGAGAACTTAGCTAAGGCTCAAAATCGAATGAAACAAAATGCATATAAACACAGAAGTGATCGGGAATTTCAGGAAGGAGAGGATGTTTACCTTAAATTGCAACCCTACAAGCAATCATCCGTAGCTGTTAGAAGAAACTTGAAACTTGCAGCAAAATTTTATGGACCTTACAAAATCCAGAAAAGAATTGGGTCAGTAACGTATCAACTGGAATATCCAATACATTCAAAAATCCACCCAGTTTTTCATGTGAGTTTACTGAAGAAGAAAGTGGGTGAAGGAACAATTACCTCAAAGAATCCTCCTAAACTTAGTGAGGATGGGCAGATGAAGGTTTATCTTGCCATCGTGCTTAACAAAAGGATAGTGAAGAAACAAAACAAGGCAATCATACAACTTCTGATCCAGTGGTCGAATTTGGGAGAAGAAAACACTACTTGGGAGGATTATGCTGTGTTAAAATCCTAGTTTCCAGATTTTGATCCTTGGGGACAAAAATCAGGTGAAAGGGAGGGAAATGTTATGTGCATGGAGAAAAAGGGGGAAATGTTAGGGA